GTAAAAGGATTCTCAGGAACTTTTAATTTCATGAAGATAACTGCTGAATCTTGTTTTCTACTCATTGTTACCTGACAAGATAAAACTTTGCTTTGTCTTGTTACTTTGCAGCTCCCACGATGTAGTAGAGGCAGGCAAAACTTCAAAGTCTTGCTTCTGTCAACCCTTCAACAAAAGTAGACTTTCAAATGCTGCATACGCTTAATCATTCTGACTTCAATGCTGTCTTTTTTTCTTCTTGCTGCATTCGTGAACCAGTGGGACATGGACTAATTATACTTTTCAGAGACAGTGGACAATGATTATGGATTGTTGGATATGTTCCACTGTTTCTAGGGGCTTCCACATAACTTGAATGTTTACTCTTGGCTCCAGCTTGCCAGGCTCTTCTCCTCTAAGCAGAGCATTTTGTTTAATAGAGCTTTGGTTATCAAAAGGAGGAGTATAGCAAGGCTTTTGGTGAATGAACAGAGCTTTTGAGCAGAGGCTTATTTGTGCTGCTGTTGCAAAAAGAACAATATTAATATTAAATGGCTGAACCAGAGTATCGCCAAGAAGATAGTGTGATGTGGAAGGATTTCAGAAAGCCATAGAACTTTTAGGCCCCGGACCTTAATAGTAATGTTGTGTAGCTTTGTGGTGAGTTGGGATGCTTCTTCATGTATTATCTGTAAAAGCGAAGGAATGAGTAATTCTGTTAAAATGGAGCTTAAGATGTATCGTGAAACTTGGACAGTAGCATTTTTTGAATCGGCTCTGCAAGTTGATTTATGTATGGAGTAGTTAGAGAGGTGTTTTGAAGTACGTGCTCTTTGGGATATCGCATTCAAATTTCTCAAAGCGTATATAATTCTGAATTTTTGCTTCTTTTGAAAATTACTTCCTTGGGGTTTTTTTTTCCCCTCAAATAGTAAGTTTGTATTAGAAAACTTGGTGTTTAGTAGAGCGACTGGTCGCTTAAAGCTTGGTTTTGTGCAGATTTATATGCCCTTTACTACCTTTTTGCACTTTTTTCCACTCATGTCCTGCAAGTAATGACTGGGCAAGAGTCAGCACATGCTGTGAATAACTGTGTACCAATTTGTTCAGGTGTCCTGCCTAGGCAGCTGTCAGGCCAGACAGAACACAGAACTGAAGCTCATGTTGAAGTATTGGCAACTAAAAGTTGCCAATCTGATTTTTCTACATTTCCACTAATTTTTTTTTTTTCTTACAATTAATCTTTTAGTATCTCAAGTGCTGTCAAATTCAGATAGTGGATTTAAAAGCTGTGGTTAGTGGGGAATAATCGGGGTGCCAAAGATGTAAATGCTGAGTGATCATTCCCCACCATAACTCAACAGCAAGTTGTATGGCATAAATTTCCTTGGTGTTTATCATAAGAGTAACTTTTTAAATAGCTTTGAAATAAAAAATGTGATGGCCTGATCAGTAAAAACAGTCACATTTCTCACGGCAAACTTTTCTTTGCACAAGATTCAGTACTGTTAGTGATTTATTTTAAGACTACGGAAAGATAACTGTTTCAAAAAACAATTGTATGATGGTGCCAATTCTGTCTCTGACAATATTTTTAAATTTAATTTCCAATTTTGATTTCATCCTATGGTATTGCACAGCCCACTGCCATTTTCTTTTTTTGAAGGTAGCTGAAAATTGTGTATTATGGCTCGTTCGAAGCCTAATCAATGCAGTATTGTGGGTCCCTGTCAAGTCAGATGATAGTAACAAAAGTATAGCTAGAAAGAGCATACAGGTCACCAGCAAACAAGGAAAGACAACGGGCCTTTTATTGTGCTCTGAATGCTTGCTTGGAACGGCTGCTGATGTTCAAAGCATTGTGTGGTACTTCATACAGAAATAGACAAAACTGTGCCTTTTAATAGTTTCTTGTGTGATGTTAAAGCTTTAAAATTTGGCTTTCTAAAGGACTTGTCTGTATTTAAGGCTTCTAAGAAATTGTACTTTCTCCGAGAACTCTTTAGGTACAGAAACTTATGTGAAATTTAATTTGCATCTCTAGTGTGGTAAAGTAAATGTTTTAACCTGTGTTTGTATAGCTACTGCTGTCAGACTCTGTTAAAATGAGAACTTCTTGCTGAAGGATGTGTGACTAAGTCTAGGTTCTTTTGCTTGGTGGTTGTGTGTTGCCTGTTAGCAATACTGTTCTTTCTGCTACCAGTAACAGAGAACCAATAGAGTGTGCCTGGCAGGTTTAATTAAATAAGTTGTAATAGTGACTTAAGGCATATTTCAGTTGTTACTACTTTTGTGTTAAGTATTTAGAAGAAATTAGTTGCTCCAGGAAACGTTTTAGGAAGCCTGCTCTCTGAAGGTTTGCAAAAATTGCAATGCAATGCAAGAATTGATGCCTTTAAGAAGCTTGCATCATTTTAAACCAATAATGTGTTTGGACAGCACAGTCTTCCTTTGTACCTGTTTGCATATTCATAGAACTGTTACCTGCTATAGCTGCATAGCTGGTAAATGATCTAAAGTCACACAGGACCTTGTTTTCTGATTTCTCCTAGAAATTGCCTGCAGTGGTCAGGAAGGCTTGAGACTATTTGACATGAGTTGGGTTTTTTTGCAGGTTGTGGTGTCGTCCCCCCGTTTCCCCCCCAGTGCTTATGCACTTCAGGGTGAAGATGAAGCAGAAAACTGGGAGGGAGAAAGGTGAAAAACTGGACTGTGGTTTGACTGTTGCTTTGAGTTGTTCTCAGAACAGGTTTCAGTGGTACTAGTGACACGGTAATTGTGATGAGTTTCATTGATCTGACTTGTTTTGGGTGGTAGGAGAAAGGGGAGTAATTTAGTGGCCTGATAATGGGTGGGGAAGAGGACCTCCTCTTTCATTCACTAGCACATCTTAGGCTGGATGCAAACTCATCATCATGGTACAGCCCTGAGTGTTATTCTGGTAGGTGCGGGATCAAGTAGGGGCTGTTCTAACACTTGCCTTCCTGCTTGTCTGAAATTAGGCACAGCTTTTTCTTTTCTTCATTGTTTCCTGATGTTCCTCCCAATACTGAAGTTGGGGGAGGAGGGGGCGTGGGGTGGAATGGGACTGTGTAGATTTGGATACCACCAACTCCTGCTGCCCAGTATTCTGTAACTAGCCATAAACAGGACTTCTCTTCCTCCTAGCAATCATATGACTACTAGTTGCTACAGTTATACTCATAAATCTAAGTATAGAAATACTACTGCTGGCCCACATCAGGCTATCCACTGCAGGTATTTAAAGCTATATCCATAAATGCTCTGACTTCATAAATTTTGTCAGCAAAAAGTAGTGTTTATGTGAAAGATTGCTTCTATTAAAATAGCACTTCATGCTGTTGGCTATTATTTTAGAACAGACTTGTGACTTTTTTGACTAAGTTTATATCTTCTAACTTTGTATGAAGAAGTATTAAATACCTTCAGTTTCATTTCATCTATTACCATGCTGAAAATAATGACTGTTTAAATTTGCGAACTCAAATCAGTGCATTGAACTTAACCCTTTTGTGGAGTAAAATTGCTGAATGAATGCTGAATAGCTGAGGTTATTTGAGGTAGGAACTACTGATCTTATTTTTAGATGAGTATTTAAATCACTAATTTAGAGCTATCCTTTGATCATTAGATCTGTTTCCCATTGTTGTTTATCCAGTAGATGACAATAAGGACTGTGTAGTGTTGGACGTGCAGGCAGGCTATATGAAATTGAGACATCAAGTATGCAATACATACTTACGCTGTCTGTCTGATCTCTCTAATCCTGAGCAATCTTGAAATGACCTATAAGATTTATCACATTTCACAACTAGTGCTCCCGAAGATGCTAAGTTGCTACAATTTTGGTGAAGTTAGCTGGCCAGGTAAAGAAGAAGAAAACCTCTCTGGGGAAAACGATGTAGTGGAAGTATCACAGCTTCTCCCTTGATTTGCCAGCTTTCAGGGCAGTCGTTTATACAGCTCTGGCTTGTTAGAGCATGTGCTTCGTCTGAAGGTCATGGGGACAGTGCTGAAAACCTGACACTATTGCAGGATAGAGGGCAACAATTGTAGGAGGCATGTCAGAGGGATGGCCAGGTCTATTTCAGAAAGGGTGTGGGAAGAAAGGGTATGCATCATAAAAAGAAAGCTTTTTTGACTCCACTTCTCTGGAAGAAACTTGTTCTAAAATGGCAGAGTCTGTTTTTAGAGGGTGGCTAATGTTTGGTATATCGTTTGGGTGCATATTCAGGTTACTTGCAGAGTAGTCTTAAGTGCTTAAAGAAAACATTTTAAGTGTGACAACTCCTGTGTCTTGTTTAGTTTTGAGAACAGTCACCTCTCCTTGTTTTGGTCAGGAATTGAAGCTGAACATACTGAGAATTTTGCAATTGCTTCAACTCTTACACCCTCACAACTACATTAGAAAATTAAAGCAGAGCAAGAGTACTTTTTCCCCTTACACCCTCACTCAAATTATATGATACCATAGAAACTGCATCATGGTAAGAAAGGCTGTTTATAAAAAAGTTTCTGTACTCAAATAGTAATTAAAGTATAAATACTAAACCTCAGATCCTTTAAAAGCTACCGTCTGGGGCTTATGGCATATGGAATCTGTTGAAACAGTTTAAACCCTGAAGTACAGGTAAGGGAATGTGTAAATGAGGTGAAGGAGAAGAGTCTTAAAGATCACAAGTAGAAATCAGGTGCTTTGCCCTTTCATGAGTATGTACTACAAATATTTTGTAAAAGTAGTGTTTGATGGTGAAATGAGATGCTAGGATTTGCTTGCCCTGCTGTGACAGATGGTCTTTCAACTTTAAGTATTTAGACCAGTATGTGGTGCGCCAGTCAGTTGTTAAAGCAGCTCAGTCTGGAACAAAAAATGTGCAGCCACACACTTTTTCATGGTTTGATGTATTAACAATTGTAACTTAAATAGGCTTTGAATTAAGATATTTTCTCTGATTAATCCATGGTTTTGTTTTGTGGTTTGTTTTTTTTTTTTTAATAAGGTGTGCGACTTGATTTGGCTAGGCCTATTTGATGATAGATCATCAGCAATTCCAGACTTCAGGGATCCACAGAAAGTAAAGGAATTTCTACAGGAAAAATACGAAAAGAAAAGATGGTAAGATAGCTTTACAATTCTAAAGATTGCCTCTATGACAAGAAGTAAAGATGGACTGTTATCCTCACATTCTTGAGTGTGCTTTCCTTCTTGTGTGCTCTTTGGACTGTAGATCGCACAGCTCTCTAAAGTAAAATGGTTTCTGGACTTTATTCAGAGCTCCTACAGGAAGCAGAGAAGACAAACTATTTAAAGAAGTTTCTCAATGTGTAGGTCATACTGATGGAACAGAAATGGCTTAAGGGGATGTCAACAACAGTGTAAAGTAAGGGTTTTGCAGGCTTTTATTAGGAGGTGGAAGACACGTATGGTTTGTATTAAATAAGTGCTATAAAATATGACTTGGAATTCTAGTCCATTTTAAAAAAAAAAGTCTGGCATATTTAAATAATGGGTATTTTGCAAACCACTGATAGAATTTGTTGCAGGGTCAGTGGTTAAAATAGCAAAGTTGAGATCTACCAGTTCTCATGCTTGAGCCTTATGAATGTTGAGCAGAACTTTTCATGTTAAACTTGTAAAAACCATTGCTCTTTTTGAACGTAGGTATGTTCCTCCAGAGCAAGCGAAGGTGGTGGCATCAGTCCATGCATCCATATCGGGGTCTTCTGCTAGTAGTACAAGCAGCACACCTGAGGTGAAGCCACTCAAATCTCTCTTGGGAGAAGCTGCACCCACACTGCACTTAAACAAGGGCACACCTAGCCAAGTGAGTAATGACAGAGCTGAAGAGCACTGAACTGTTCAGCAGTACTTTTTCTCTTTTAGTGGCACAAGAATTTTTGCAATAGCAACTGTTACCTAATAATATGATCACTAAAGACAACTTGATGTATTTTGTTGAAGTATACGGGTGTTTGCAAATCAGGTTCTAAATAAAGCTTGTTTCTGTTGACTAAATTGATTTTTTTTAAGGGTTATTTTCAGTAAGCAGAATTTTCCAGTACGATTGACAAGTTTATGATTATCTTTTGCTTAAATATCTCTAAAGTTTGAACCTAATGTGATATGTTTTCATGTTTGGTTTTTTATTTGAAAACAATAAAACGGCTGCTACTGTTAAACATGAGATTAGTAGTGAATATGTGGACGAAAAGCATGCGTGTTCATGATTACTTGCTGTGCATTCTGTAACTGTCTTATTGAGTGGCTTTCAGGGAGTGCCTGTGTGCTGTTCTGTAAAGCCAAACACCACCATGTACTTAGATTTTGGAGGGTAGACAGTTTTTTGAAAAACTGTTTTACCTTTCGGGTACAGGCAACTCTTGAATGGACCTCTTAAAACTCAAACAGTAGACATTTGCAGCTTTCAGCCTTGCTATGAAATTCTTCAATTTTTCTCTCCCTGCGCTGAATTCTAAAGATGATTTCAGAACGCAGTGAATAACTGTTTTCCAACTTGTAAAATTAAATGTTATTGCTTGTATTTGTACAGAATTTACAGTTTTAAATACGTAACTTTGAAGTTGCTTATACACTGCTACTTTATTCTTCTGGGCTCTATTAATCCATGGAAATCTGCTGTGGAGTTCCTTTAAAAGCCACCATAGTAGCATAAATAGATTGTCTTTCTCATACTATACGAGGAAGGTCTGTGCTGTATGCAGCGTCTTAAATGTCAGGAATAAATGGCTTGTTAAAGAAATATGCTTAGTCTATCCTTCTAGTATTTTGCAAAAGTCAGTTTGGTAAAATATCAGCTTTTTTGTATTAGCTAACTGAAATGTTGTTTGTAGTCTCCTGTTGTAGTTCGATCTCAAGGACAGCAGCAACAAGAAAAGAAACAATTTGACCTCCTCAGTGACCTTGGCTCAGATATCTTTGCTGCTGCTCCTCCTCAGTCAACTGCTACAGCAAATTTTGCTAATTTTGCACACTTCAACAGTCATACAGGTAAGTATTCTGAGCAGTGTATCCCTCTTAAATGTATAAAACATAGTTTTAATTTTTGATGACTTCAGTCTAAAGTTCTTCATGAGGTATATATAATTTCTGTGTCTTGAGAATGTTGTATTGCTCAAGATTTCCTTTGGATCTTTATAAAGAAAGGTTGAAGACACAAAGGCTGATAATCCTGCTTTTTCAAGTGGGAGTTGCTATAGCTATTTTCTGTGATATGTATGATTAGACTGTTTCTGCCTGCTACTAGGCAGAACTTTAAATTCTTCGGGGGAGAGAGTGAGAGGATGAGTAACAGCATGTAGGGAGAAGCTGATATTAGACCTTCAATTTTCTTTCTGAAAATTATTAGGAAGAGCATTCATGGAAAGAAAGCAGATACAGAGACTTTAAGGGAGTTCAAATGCATTGACAATAACTGTCAAATTTGTTAAAAACAAAGGCTTCCTCAGTTTAAAGAACGACCTCCTCTTTTGTGTGTGTCTCTTTGAAAACTGAATACTAGCCATGTGGGTAGTATTCTGGAGTTTCAGGAAGAATAAACAAGCTTTGAGCATATGTATTGACTGAGGATGGGGGTAGGCCTTGAATTCTTAAAGAATGACTTCAGTAAAATACATTGAGCCCTCAGGGTTTATTTTCAGCCAAAGATCTTGAGCCACAGAAGTCTACCCTAAAGAAAAAGTTGATTCTGTGGTCACTGAAGTATGTTGCTGCTAACTTGCATTGTAATTGTGGGAAAGTACCTTTGCCTGCCTTGTCTGAATGGGCTTTTCATCTAGTTTTTTCCGAGAGAAACTGTGGTGCTGCTATAAGCCAACAAGAATAAGAGATATTTCTTGCAAATTAGTCCTGAAATTGTAAACAGCTGAGAGGAAGTGTGATGGAGGGGACTTAAGGCACACCTGAGAAACTGAGCAAAGTATCAAGGCTTTCTCAGAGTAACTTGAAAAAAGAAATGTTGTGAAATAATTGGCTGAATTCAGTAATACAGAATAAGAATTGCTGTTGCAGTGTCTTTTGTAAAATCCTTAACGTAAGATGTCATGTTAATAATCTTTTTGGAGGTATGTTTAACTGGGAGAGCTTGTGCTGACTGGCCAATGTTGTACAGTGTCACTGAAGAGGCTGCAGATATTTAATTCTTTCTAATAACTTATTCTTTCCAAACTTGTTGCTGAATGATTCTATATTTATATACTTAATTACTCTTTGTGGGTTTCAGGAGATGAAAATTCCATTAAAGCAATGTTTCAATACTGTGTTCCAAATCTAGGTAAAATTCCATTGCATCTCTCCTGGGTAATTTTTAAAAGGATAAAAAGCAATATGAACACTGCGGAATAAATATAATCTTACGAAAGAGTCTGTTAATTTCTGGTTGAAATAAGTGCTGGAAATCAAAATTGAGAGGAATGCTCAACTACACTGGCTAGTTTTCTGTTTCAGTATTAACCGTTGTGGTCATTCCCATGACTCCTTTCCATAAGTTTTAGAAGCCAAAACATTTTCAGGACTGGTAAATCAGTTTCTAAAAGACAAAAATGTAATTCTGAGCATGCGATAGCTGAATGCATATTGCGGACTGGTTTGTCTGAAGGTGTTTTCTGACTTTCTAGGGTAAAAGCCTTATACTAATAAGCCTTAAACAACTTTTAAGGTTTGTTCTGTGTGCAGTAACCACAAGGGTAGTGTTAACTGAAACTAATAATGAAATGTTACAGACTCTTCCCTTTGGAACACAAGGAGGGTTGATCAGGCTGCCAGCTTTGGCAAAAATGAATTTTAAATGCTCATTTAAGGAGCTGTATAAACATGTAATTTTTGTTAGTAATCACACACTACAGCAAAGGATGGAAGAACTTGCACTTAGTCCAGCACTACTTTCTCGAAGTTTATGGTCCAGTGTTCTTGTTTTAGGGCTTGGTTTTAGCTATGCCTACAGGGCATGGACTTTTCTCTCTCCCTTCATGTACACTATGGCTAACTAAAGTAATCACTGAAGAGCACCGGCAAATTTAAGGTCTTCCAGTATAAGTTACTGTTTCTGCAATTAAGGCACAACTGAGTGCAGCAGCTGACAGGAAAATATTAACAAACTTGTGCTGTGATCTGTAGAGTGTAGATGTAAAGCTTGAAAATTATGCAGGAAGTGCAACTTTTGATTACGTTCCTTTTTTCTGAGTTTTCTAATGTAATAAGCTGGCTCAGGACATTGTTGCATGTTGAAGGGGAAACATGCTGACCTCACGTTTACTTGTCTGTATTTAATTTACGAAGTTCCATAACTTCTGCAAAATGATGAAATTTTGAAGATGATGGTAGACAACTGTTCTCTGTCTGTAGTTTACAGACCTGTAATAGTGACAAAGATAAAAATTTTTGGCATGTAGACTTTCTATAAACTGATGGAACAGAAGACCTGCACAAAAGATTTTAAAAAGGTGTAGTGACACAGCACAACTCTATCACGGTTAACAAGGGAGAAGAGGCTTTAACCAGAAGAAGTAAAACAGTATGACATAGTTATTGTCTTCTAGAGAATTATTTTCAGTTTTGTAATTGAATATATGTGGACTTTATTTTAGGTTTTTTTGGTTTTGCAATGTTTCGTGCCTTTATTCCACACTAGGTAGTGCAAACCTCACAGAAGAAACTATGCAAAGGTTGTAGGGGCAGCTTGCATTGCCATGACCGGTGCTGTCGTACTTGAGCTAGGTTTAGCCAGCTAGCTTTTGTACTGCCTCATTGATCCGCAGTCACAACAGCAGTTGTACATCTACGCCAATCTGCAATCCGCTGCAGTTCCTTAACTAACTTAGGGTTGTTCTTGGGTTTCTACGTGGAGAACTGAATTTTGGAATTGCCAATCTACATATTATTCAGGTACAGGAAAGTACAAGTCTTACCTGGTCTTTACCTTTGTGCCACTTTTACATAGGTTTAAACTTCACCACATAAAATAAAGCAAGATTAACATCTGAATAGTCTGCAGAAGAGTCTTTACAGCTCTACTGTTTTAACACGGGCCCACTTGCAAATCATACTTTCTGTGTCAGCTGATGCAATAAAATTGTTAAAAGTGGCCTGTAATATAATACGTTCCAGTTTTTATTCTAGACCCAAAAGATAGTTCATTTAAAATTCTTGACGCAGTATTCTGTTTGTGTGACTGGTTAAAATGAAAAATTTTTTCATAATTCTAGGAGTGACGTTTTATGTACTTAATCCTACTTGGTCAACTAAACATCAGTCTCCAAGTAGCCCCTGTCCAATTGATGCATCAGAGTGAAAGCATCGCTTTCATTTTAAAGCAAGGTGCAATTGAATTCTTAATCTATTCCTCTTAAAAAGCTACTGGTTTAAAACCAAAACAAACAAAAAACGAAACTGTGGAGTTTGGAGTTGAAGTCTGTAGAATGCTGTTTGAACCAATACAGATGGTATAATAATAGAAACTATTTTTCCTCTGTTTGTGTCAACTTTTTCTCCTTGCACACTTTAAAGGTGAATATTTTAGGACAGAACTTTCCCAAGACCTTGCTTTCTCATTGATTCCCCCCTCCCCCCCGCTTGCTTGTTGACTCTCATGTTGTGGTGGGTTGACCTTGGCTGGCTGCCAGGTGCCCACCAAGATGCTCTCTCATTCCCCCTCTCAGCAGGGTGGGGGCAGAAAATATGATGGAAAAGCTTGTGAGTCAAGATAAGGACAGGGAGATGGCTCCCCAGTTACCATCATGGGCAAAACAGACTCGGCTTGGGGAAGATTAACTTAATTTATTGTCAATTAATAATAGAGTAGGATAGTGAGAAATAAAAACAAAACTAAAACCACCTTCACCCCTTCTTTCCAGGCTCATTTTCACTTCTGACTCTTCTACCTCCTCCCCCTGAGCAGTGCAGGGGGACAGGGAATGGGGGTTGCAGTCAGTTCGTAACACTTCATCTCTGCCATTCCTTCCTCCTCGTGCTGTTCCCCTGCTCCATTGTGGGGTCCCTCCCCCTCAATAGGATACAGTCCTTCACAAACTTCTTCAATGTGGGCCCTTCCCGTGGGCTACAGTTCTTCAAGATCTGCTCCAGCATGGGCCCTTTCCATGGGGTGCAGTCCTTCAGGCATGGACTACTCCAGCGTGGGCCCCCCGCAGGGTCACAGCTCCTGCCAGAAAAGCTGCTCCTGCATGGGCTCTTTCCATTAGCCACAGCTTCTGCCAGGAGCCTGCTCCAGTATGGGCTTTCCACAGGCTCCAGCTTCCTTCAGGGCATCTCTACCTGCTCTGGTGTGGGGTCCTCCACGGGCTGCAGTGTGGATATCTGCTCCAGCATAGATCTCCATGGGCTGCAGAGCGACAACTTCTCCATGGGCTGCGGGGGGACAGCCGCCTTCTTCGCCGTGGTCTTTTCCATGGACTGCAGGGGAATCTCTCCTCCAGTGCCTGGAGCATGTCCTCTCCGTCCCTCCCTCTTCAATGACTTTGGTGTCTGCAGGTTTGTTTCTGTCACATTTTTCTCACTCCTCTCTCTCACAGCTGCTGTACAGTGTTTTTTACCCTTTCTTAAATATATTACCGCAGAGGTGCCACCAGCGTTGCTGATGGGCTCAGCTTTGGGCAGCAGCAGGTCTGTTTTGGAGCCGGCTGTCAGAAATAGGGGCAGCTTCTGATCTCTTCTCACAGGGGCCAGCCCTGCAAGCCCCCTGCTACCAAAACTGTGCTGTGTAAACCCAACATGCATGCACACTTCTAATAAGAAGTGGTGTCAAGTAGAGTCAAACCTCACCCTCTCTCCCAGTATCGCCTGTGAAGGGAAATACTTGCACTTTCATTTATATTAGCAGCATTGTGGAATGCAGTAGTTGTATAAAAACGTCCTTTTAGTTTATAAATCTGTAGTACAGATGCTTTTTCAATAGAAATTAAGTGAAATAATGCAAATTTTTATTAGCGCTATCTGGCTACTAAGTAACAGTACTTAAACAATCAGCATAATTTATTGTTTTTTGTATACACTTAATCTGCAAAATCCCTCCAGAATAAACAAATCCTGACCCAAAAATATAATGTATTGCATCTGTTATTCTAGGTCGGTTTTGTGGGCTTTCTTTAGATGGTAATTCAAGTTACCTATATATATGGGTTTGTTTTGCATTTGATTAAAACCACTTTTTTCCCTTACTCTTTACTTATAACAATGTTTAAGACTTTCTGTGGAGCTTATCAGTTAGGCATACAATTCCTGTTGAATCTATAGATGCTTGAATGTCCAGCTGTTTGAAATTAGATGGGTGTTAACTTCTATTTTCTCCTATAGTATGGCACGAAAGGAAGGCGAAAACTGAAATTCTATTTGAAATTTCCTTGGATTTTATTTTGTGGATACACTCTATGAATGCTATCTTCTTGACATTGGTATTGATTTTCCATATTTCTGTACTCTGATTTAGTTTTTTAAAAACTGAGTTTTCCAGTGACATGAATTTATAAACCTAGCCAAAACTATTCAAGTGGTGCCAAACTAAATTCACCCAAGGATGAAGTACTTTGTATATGAGGAATTCAAATTGTCAGTATTCAAGTTGTTCAGTTAGTCCACAAATTCTAGTTTTGGAAACTGGCGCTTAGCTTGATACCTGGTTTGGGTTCTACAGGTATGCCATCTGCTATGCTGTACTTTTTGGCTGTTTTTCCCTGACCAGCCACCACTGCAAACACTCTAGGGTTAAGCTGAACTGAACTTCATTAGGTCGTGCGGTTGTGAGTAGTAGCATGTGTGAGGAGGAGAGAAGTAGCATTAACTGGTACAGCTGTGAAGGTGGTTTGTGAAAGCTTGTTCAAAGACAACTTTCAGTTGTAGAATATCATGTATAGTTTTTTCATGTAAAAAGAAATTACAAGGTAGGACATAACCCTTGGAGGCTGTCATGACCATGAATTCAGTTAATACATCTGTTTTTGTGTTTATTTCCCATATCCATTAACATGTTTTGTTCCTTTGCAATTTACAGCGCAGAACTCTGCAAATGCAGGTTTTGCAAACTTTGATGCATTTGGACAGTCTAGTGGCTCGAGTAATTTTGGAGGTTTCCCCACAGCAAGTCAGCCTTCTTTTCAGCCCCAAAATACAGGTAGAACTCCTAGCACTTTTGATTAATACTGAACTGAAATAATCCGTTACCTTTATGTTGGAAGGTACTTAAGTTGAGTTTATTTCTTGCATCTGCCTGCTTTAATGCAATCAAGCCATCTGAAGCTCTGGGGAAACTCAAAATGAATTCCTTCTGTTTGGTGTTGATTTTTTTTTTTTTTCCTATTGCTGCTCAGAAGTCTGATTTATGGCACTATGTGTTTGTTAGCTCTACACCTGAAATAAGTATGAAAAGAGTAAACCATACTGCTTTTGAGAAATATTGAATTGACTCTTTATCTTGTAAGAGAAGTGTTTCAGTAGACCCAAAAGCACATCGCAGTACCAAAAAAAAGTGTGTCTATGCGTATGTGTAACATATGCACACACTTCAGTTTGACTTCATGTGTAGAGCCTACTGCTAAGATTTATTTTGCTTTCCTTTAATTTGATCATGCTTTAGAACTTCTGCTTGAGCTTACACTTGTTGTTTGTCTAGATCTTTGGCTGACTGACTTTCTTTTCCTTTTTTTTTTTCTTCTTTTGAGTGTGGTGGTGTTTTAAACTTTTTTTTTCAAATTTTCTTTCTCCCTTCTTATGTTAACTTTAACCCACACACAATTTCTGGCTGTCCAGCGTTCAGAACGCTTTCATCTAGCTGCAGTTTTGGTGAATTTACTTCAGCTTTTCCTCTCCAGGCTGTACACAGTAAGTTCCACGCAGTGGAAAACTCAGCTTGCTTCATTTTATGCCATTGTAGTATAGCGTTTTCATTCCTACTGTTGCATATGTTTTAACTTTGTGATTATGCTATTAGAAGGTTGTGCGTTCTGTAGTATGAGTGGAATCCTCAACCAACTGTTATAAAATATGATACACTTAATGGAACAACTCGTTTAAATTTAAGTACGTGACCTGCCTAGATTAAATTGTCTGGACACTGAAGATATGGAAGCTCATGGTTTCATGTTTGAACTGAAGTTCAATTGTGTGGACTTAAGTCAGATTTTTAAAATTGATTTATGTATCTCTGATGTCAGTGGAGACTTGGTATAAAAAGAGCTGTGTTGTGTCTTCCCCCTCTCCTCTTTCCTGATTGGATGTAGTCTAAAAACCTGAGAACAGAGAACCAAACTATCTCTCTAAACCTTGGCATGGAATCATACCACTGTTGGAATTCTAGGCACTGTTTTTTGCTTAGAACGATGACTGACATCTGAAACAGTTAAACACTGTGCCATTAAGTAAATGCAAAGAGTAGCTATTCATTAGACACGTGGCAGGAAAATGAAGCTTCTGTATTTTGAATATTAAAGATTCAGACAAATACTTATTTTTCTAGCAAAATATTATTGTAGAAACTACTTTAACAGCTAATAAATGGCATAATGTTTTTCAAGATCAAATTATGACTGATTTAAGCTGTCAAAGCTTGGGTTTTTTGTCCCTGATCTGCAGACTGAAAAATGTAAAAAAAAAAAAAAAAAAAAAAAAAAAAAAAAAAAAAATTTTCTGATGACCCAGTGTAACTTTGAAGGAAAGGGGAAAGGGTCTTAAACATGTGGGATGGGGTGGGGGAGCATTTTGCCTCGCGTAACCACAAAGAGGTGGGATTATTGTGCCATCGGTTACAGTTGGAGAGACTTTCTCTAGCTTTGGAGTGTTGATCATGTTTAACTTAATTTGTTACAGGTGGAAGCGCTGGATCAGTGAATGCTAACTTTGCTCACTTTGATAACTTCCCCAAATCCTCCAGTGCTGACTTTGGAGCCTTCAATGCTTCTCAGAGCAGCACAACAGCAACTGCAGCCAGTAAAGCTGCAGTGAATAAATCGAATCTCCAGTCAGCTGACAAATACGCAGCTCTTGCTAATTTAGATAATATCTTCAGCGCAGGGCAAGGTATTAAACTTTATTCTTTGACGTGCTTATTCTACATGTTTATACTTACCACAAGGATGGCTGTGCATGTCAAAATAGCAACCGTATCTCAAGATGTCCTTTCTTTAAGTTATCAGTAGAATTTCACATCAGTGTACCCTTAATGTGTAAGATGTAAGTTTTAAGACTAACATCACTCCGAAAGGATGTCATCAGAAGACTGCTTTTTGGGAACCTACTTGCTATCAAAATGAATAACTTTTAAATGGAAATATCTAAATAATTATTACTGCAATGATGAAAATATATAAAAATACATATTTTGTGTTTGTGCTAGAACCTATAGTGAAGGCTCTTGAATGGAGAGCTACAGTTGTTGCAGAGAACTGCCAGAGTAGCTTTCCTAGCTCTGCCACAAAAAGATTTGGCTTTAGTTTTTTTATGAACTAGTAGCAGTGATACTTGGATTTAGTTGATTTTAAGTTACGGAGGAAAAAAAACTAGTTATTCTGTAACTTTTTTCTTCTCAAATGGTGTGTAAAACTTGTGTTGGTTTGTAATGTAGAGCTTTGTTCTGAAATGCATAATTTGAGGGTATGTGTTTTGTTGAATTTTCTAGCTGAAAATGACAGTACTATTGAGTCATCATTTTCCAGGGAAACCAGAGGCTCTCTGGAGCTGCAGAATATCTGTAGAAGCATGACGCTTTGCTAATAGCTAATGTCTTGTTAAACACTCTTTTATCCCTGTATGCTTTAGCACATATTTAATTTTTAAGTCTGAAACTTAAACTGTCCATGAACTTTCATTTAGTTCTCAACATTGGCAGGGCAGAAAGTGAAACCACCTTCATTGCTTTTAATTTGGTTTTTTCTTTCTAGGTGGTACTGAGCAAGGAAGTGGCTTCAGTACAGTAGTGTCGGCATCAGCAGGTCCTGCATTGTCAGCCCCAAATCAGTCAAGTGCGTCTTCAGACAAGTATGCGGCTCTAGCAGAATTAGACAGCGTGTTCAGCTCCACAGCAACCTCTAGTAACGCATATACTTCCACCAGTAACGTTAGCAGGTACTTTCTGTAGCTGACTTTTTCTACATTGACTTCAGCGATATGCAGAAAAGTAGCTCAGAGTTGTTTCTCAAATCTGGTTTTATGTCTTACCTACATGGGGAAATGTTGAATGAGTTTAGAGGTACTACTGAAACTGATCCTTTGTTTTAAATAATAGCAGTACTGTCTGATAGGATATTATAAGATAAAATTAAGAATACTTTTTGTCAGCAGAATGTTCTCTGCACCTTTCTAGTCATTACGTGGTAAACCTGTTAGCTGGTAACACTTTCCTGTACAGAATATTTGCATGCATACTGAAAATCATAGCATCGTCCCTGGCAAAAAAGTTACTCAGATATTTATAATGTAAATGGTGCCAACCACTTCTTTTTTTAGATCATTAAAGTAATAAATACCAAACGCCTGTTATAGCTCTGCTTGGTATTGCAAGTGCCCCTAAACCTTCTGCTTTGCAACCTTTATGCTGATGGCCTCTGTTCAATATCCTTTCTCCTGCTGTTGGTGGAGGGGACTTTCATTGCTCAGCACTAGTTATAGTCTCTGACCCTGGCATCAGGGGCTCAATTCCTGGCATCAGTGCATTATATTGCAGTTTGCAAACTGCACGTAAGCATTCCTTTTCTATTCTTTTACATGCCAACAATAATTGTAAGTTGTATTTAATTGTTAAACAAGCAATTCTGACTTCACTGAATGTATGAATTATTTTCAGCAATGCTTTTGGAACAGTACCTGTGGCTGCTACTGCACAGACACAGCCTGCATCTTCGAGTGTGCCTGCTCCATTTGGAGGTACATAAGTGTTACTAACACCTTTTGTGGACTGTAAGCAAACATCTTACTAATTTTTAGTTGATAGTGCTATACTTTGGCACTAGTGATACTGAAGTTACTAAAGGATGCCAAAAAAGTACTCTTCTTGTGATGCATTAAGCATTTTATTATCAATTCCTAATTTTTCATGTAATTTTAGATATTTGTGTGTTTGTATAAAAGCTGTATAAGTTTAATGTGAGTCAGATTGGCTATTTTTAAAAGACTTTATTAAATAAAATGTTCTTAATCTTTCAGCAACACCTTCCACAAATCCATTTGTAGCTGCCCCTGTTGCCCCAGTGGCACCTTCAACAAATCCATTCCAGACCAATAGCCGAGGAGCAACAGGTTAGGAAAAAACCCTGAGTGTTTGAGAAACTTTCTTTCGAGACTTGCACTGATTCTTTTTTCCATAGTGTGTAATTTGTTCCTTAAAGGTTTTCTGTATTATCTGTCTCTAGTCTATTTGACATGTTGTGTGTGTGTGTTCAATGTAGAGTACAATATTTATGAACAGGCTGCAGAAATCAACTTTAACTTTTTTTTTTTTGAGATAAGTGATGTTTTTATTGGTCTGAGGACATTAGTTTCCTGTTTCTGGCCCAATCCTAGGATTTCAAATGGCGGCCATGAAAAATGTCAAAATGATCTGTTTAAGATCTTCTGATACTACCTAAGCTATTTGTAGTCTGTGTATTACCAGTTGGGTACCTTCCAAGACTATAACCTTGGCTTTGAAGCATGCTTTATCGCAGGTTGCCCTGAAATCAGGGATCTTGAAAGCCCTGCTGCTAAGCTGGTACACTTGCTTTGTTTCTTTCTTTATTTCAAAGTCCTGCAAGCCCTCAAAACCAAAGAGCTGGGGCTGGAACCAGGAAAGACAAGGCTTTTGGGCTGTTAGCTCCTCACCAGTCCACTTATTCGGTACATTGGTGCTGTCCTTTATTTTTCCCTTTTGTAACAGTAAAGCAGGTGTTTAAATATAATTACGCTCCTGATTTACATTAATTTTCTGTAGAATCATAATTCCATAGACAAAAACTTAATCACTTTTTAAAAAAGCAAACCTCTACTTTTCTTTAAAACACTGAACTTGGATTTAGAGGACTTAGATATGCTAATTTTCCTCTCCAAAGGCACTGCTAAATTTTGGCACTTTTATCTATCAACTGGACTTCCACAGACTTAAATCTGCTGACATATGCATTTTAAGGGTTGTGCTTTGCTCAAAGTTTTAGGTAGATTTAATTAAACTGATCAGGCTGAGTTAAAACTGAATTGATCAAATTCATGTCCTCTGCTAAAATGAATTCTGTTTTCAGTCCCTTTTGAGATACTATGCAGTTAAACTTACTCAGCTATTTAATGCCCAAACTATCTTTTTCCTTATTTTGATCTCATTCCTAATTGTGCTGTTTTGGATCATCGTTAAGAACTTGTAGCCTCTTTAGATAAGCTTGTTTGAATATGGCAACTTTATCCTTCCATCTTCTAAACTGCCATCCTTGGCTTGCAGAGGTTCCAACCCTTTGGCAGCTATAGTGATGTTATGTACTAGGTAACAGAGATAATGACTATACGTAAAGATAATACTCTACCCCTTTCAGCGTGAGGTGTAAACTTGTAGCTTGTCCTTTTATGCTAAGCTTTCTTTCTGCATGAACTTTGCTATTTAGTACATGGGAGATCTTGTTTTGTAGCGTTTATTTCTGATGGTTTTCTTACCTTAATCTATTGCTGGTCATGCTATGGACAAGTTGTTTGGTACATACACGTGTGTATATTTTTTTATATATATATAAAACTAAGAAATGACTGTGTATAAATGATTTGACATTGTCTGGTCTCTTTGTGGCTTCCATAAGGCCTCTCGGGAGCAATGCACTCTCACATATTTCCTCAGGCTCATTTTGGTAGGTGGCCACATTTGGTATCAAGTTTCTTGTGGCTAATTGTTCTTGCTTGTAAAAGCTTATTGACAGCTATCTGGTTCTCTGCACGTAGAATTTCGGAAGACTTTCTGTGTTTTAAAATGGAGTGGGTGTGGGCAAAGGGAGAGAAGAGCATACGTGGGCAACCTATTAAGCAACTGAAACAAAACCATTATTGATATCCTCCAGGGTCACAATATAATGCGAACAAGTTGAGTGACTCTTGAAGTTTCTACCAACAGTAGCTTGATGCCTTTTGGGATATCCCAAGTCACTGCTCATTTTGTTGTGCTTTTGTTTGCTGTTTTAGCAAGTTTTCCTGTCGAATAGCTTCTCTCCTCTCTGTAACCTGAGAACAATGTTAGTACATTAGTTTTGTGTGTACTTTGTCAGCAGTTTATGTATGTATAATGTCTTGCCCTTGAATACTTTTGGGGTACATTTTTCAACTGATAAAATTAAGCTATATTCATTAAATACATTAATTTTTTTAAACAATTGAGCTTGCGTAAAATCTAACTTCTAACATTTCAAAAGAAAAGTCCTGTCTAATGTTCAACTAGAATAAAATGCCTGGTGTCTGTATTTGTACCAAAAAAACTTTTGTACGCTTCTCCTTTCAAGAATAACTCCCAAAAGACTGAATAATGGTTTTGTTACTACATTTTTGCACTTGATGTGCTCCTGTTTATTTGCTGAAGGCATGTGGAATAGCATATGAGCTGTGTGTTCTTTACTTGAAATGTTCAGCAGAGAATCAGATGAAAAGTTTTGGGTTGTTTTCTTTTTTGTTGTTTTAAGTCTTACCTCAACAGTAAGAGCATTTGCAGTAGGAACTTTGTGTGCGAATACTGTGCATGGTGAAAATTTCCTTTAAAGTGACGTTAAGGATGGGATGAAGGGAGAGGGGATGCATGTATCCCTTATGACTTTTTTTTTTAACTTGTAACTTCCTGTAACGCAGCTTGAAGTAGGAAGATCCTTTCAGGCTTTTCTCGGAAGGAGAAAAACAGAGGGGCTTATGCTGCCTGAAAGTGCTCGCTTCTGATGTGTACAGATGTTTACCAGAAAAACTCTGGGGGAAGTATATGATAATGTCGAGAACGTAAAAAATAATTTCCTTTTCAGAAAGCATATCTGAATGTGCTGGATCTAGTAAATTTTAAATTATTCCATTCATTTTTTAAAGTGCAGAAGTAAATTATGCACCTAGTTGGTGGCGATCCAAGCTAACAAATCGGTTCAGTGGCTGTAGAAGTTGAACCTGACTTCTGTATGGTCACTGAGGCATTAGGAGACTTTTCTTAACATGGCATTATAGTAACTTGTCTCATGAAAAAAAGTGATTTCTTACAAATAATTGAACGTTATTTTTTGCCTACCAGCAGCAACATTTGGTACTGCATCCATGAGCATGCCTGCAGGATTTGGAACTCCTGCCTCCTACAGTCTTCCTACTAGTTTTAGTGGCAACTTCCAGCAGCCCACGTTCCCAACCCAGGCAGCTTTCCCTCAACAGACTGCTTTTGCTCAGCAGCCAAATGGTAGGTCTATACGTTTTAGATAATCTTGTTTCAATCAGAAACATGGAGAAAATGATGTATCTGTAAGCTAGCAATAATGGGTGTGTACTTATTTCTGTATGAACTTGGTAATAATATTGATGAGGGGTTCCCATGCTCCGTCGTTGAGCTTTCTGACTTGGCTGTGTGCAGTGACATAACTGAAATCTTGCCATAATCTGATACTAAAATTATAAGTGTTCCCAGGCTTAAAAGGTTTTTATGCGAGAAGGGTTGTTTTGTCTTCATTTTTGGAGTGTCTGCAACCGTTTATAACACTTTCTCTAACTTCATAGGACACAGGCAAGAGAAAATTGGAAAGTACTTTCTCTGTAAATTTAAATGATAAAATAATATTGAAAAAAGTGCATATGTAGAAATCGGAAATTAATTCGTTCCAAACAGCTGAAAAGAAACAAAAAGCCTAGCCATATTCTTTTTTACACTTATGTTCCTGATAGTGTTTAAGTAGGATCAATCCTCCTGATTGTGTGGTCCAAGCTTCCACGTATTTTTGTGTGGGAGCTGCAGCAAAGAACTCTTTGAAGATTGATTACTAGTATTAATATTTTTCACTTCTCTTTCCAAGGAGCAGGTTTTGCTGCATTTGGACAGGCAAAGCCTGTAGTAACTCCTTTTGGACAAGTTGCAGCTGTTGGAGTATCTAGTAATCCTTTTATGGTAAGTGAGTTGTTGCATGTTATTAATAACTTCTGTATGTCTGAAGAGGCATAATCTGTAACATTTAATTTAGAGACACACAAAGTTGGGTTTTTTTCCCCTTCAAATAAGGGAAGGCAGCATGTGAATCTCCTAAATGGAATTCATTATTACGATGACATGGCATTTGTAAGGCTGTTCAAATCAAAACAGAGGTACTTGTATACCATGCTCTTACAGTAGTGTAATTCCAGAGAACTACCAAAAAAAAAAAGACTGCAACATAAACCAGAAATATTTCCTAATAGGTTGTCGTCTTTTATATATATCCTGCATTTATGATTTACAATATGGACAAAAATCTTAAATATTTGTCTTATTTTTCTTCTTTCATTTTCCCCCAGGCTGGTGCACCAACAGGACAATTTCCAACAGGAAGCTCATCAACCAATCCTTTCTTATAGCCTTATAGACACTTTACCCAAAAGAACTCTTATGTGGTCACATAACATCTCTGCGCCTCTTGCACTGTTGTCTTGTTTCACTGATATTAGCTTTAAACACAAAAGAAGTCTTTAAGAAGTAAAAATAAAAGCCTGCATTGTGTACCTTTAAAAAAATTAAAAAAAAAAAAAAATAAATTACACAAACCCCAAGAAAATCAACCCCCCCACCAGGTAATAACGTGCAAAACAGAGGGCTGTGGTAACATCCTTGAACCTGTGAACTGGCAGGTAAAAAGTAGCGGTATCATGTATATTAAATTGGCTAATAAGTTATTGCAGATACCACATTCATTATGCTGCAGTACTGTACATATTTTTCTTAGAAAATAGCTATTTGTGCATATCAGTATTTGTAACTTTAACACATTGTTATGTGAAAAATGTTACTGGGAAATAGATCAGCCACTTTAAGGTGCTGTTGTATCTCTTGGAATGAATGAGCTACATCATTTTAACCATTGGTATTGGAAGTCATGAAGTTAAATTGAAGGTTTGTTCATTTCTCAAAATGTTTTCCTTTCCTAAGAGCTCTTCTATTTATACATGCCTAAATCTCTAATGTTAGAGGGATACCTGTCTGCGTAATAAAGCTGATCATGTTTTGCTACAGTTTGCAGGTGAAAAAAATAAATATTAGAAAAACCAATTGTGTAGCATTATTTCTGTGCAGTAACATTTTATTGGGTTAAAAGGTACATATTGTGAGTCTTGTACGCAGATGGGTTATCAGACGGTAAATGCTTAAAGGTGAGTTAAGCTTAAGGTTTTTGCATGCCTCACTTGGATATGTTTCTTTGTGTCCTTGTGGTTAAGCTTGCTGTTCTAGCTCCAGTGAAGCGACCTATTGAACAGGAAAATGTTAAGTGAACTTGGATTATTTTGACAGAATAGCTGTGCAATGAAGGACTCTGGAAGCACTGAGGAGGGTAGTTACTCACGAAATGGTTAGCGGCAAAAGACACGTAATTATGGGTGGCTAGTGAGAGTCTTTGAACAAGACTTAGCTGTGATCAGAACAGTATGTGCAATAGCAGGCCAAGGTACCACAGGTGTAATAGCACTCTTTCTATTAAAAATTGATAGATATTAGTAAGACCACCTGTGGAATATTAAAGTCATCAGTTATTTTTTTTATGTACTGGAATGTTTCCTGTCATACTAAATGCAACTTGTAGAGGGGGGAAAAAAAATGTCTGGCTTGTCTAGTCTGTAATAGTGAGAAGGTTCAAGAAAAATGTAACCGCATCAAAGTAGTTGGTGATGGTGTTTTAAACGGAGATAACTTGGCTCAAGCGTAACACACTTGGTTGAAGTGTCATACTGGAACTAGGCAAGTAATGTAAATATATCATGAATACATAAACTGCAAGCTTAAAAACAGGTTTCTGACCAGCTGGAGAATAAAACTCTCAAGCTTTCAAGATAACAGGAATAAATAAATCAGATAATGTCAGAAGATTTTTGAGAAAAGGATGTGCAAGCCCAGTTGAGACAAATGCGAAAATTCTTAAAGGTAAGACATCTCACTTGGTAATGGACTGCCTGCATGTTAGATCTGCTGATTTCTAGGGGAGCTGAGAGACTTGACCGCTGCTTGTAAAAACGCTCTTGTGGCAGTGCTTTTGACTTCCGTTGCCTGCCTGGGGGCGGGTAGTCATTTCTGTATCTTACCTTTTTTTTTGAAGCTTTGGAGATGCCAAAGCAGGGGACAGGCAGCTTATAGAACAAGCTGCTTAGAGCAGCATTCCTCGCTTAAACGTCTGTTTCTGTCCTGTTGGCATATTTAAAAGTTAAAACAGATTTGAAGTCTGTCTTTTCCTATTGCTGAGGACTGCGGGATAGAGTATGGTGTATGGTTTAATTCCCAAGATTCTCTGGGACATTCACCAAACAAATCCCCAGCAATTGAGGGTTTCCAGGATCTTAGTGATGGCCTTGCTCTCACCATTTTTTTTTTAGCATGGTATAAATAGCTGTAGTTCTTCCCTGTTGTTGACCTTACCTGTTTTGGGGTAGTAACACATAAATGCAGTAGAGAGTGGGGAACTGCAAGGGTTCAGAAGGACTTGTGGAATGTTTAAATATGCTTATTGCAGGGAACTGGACCAAACCAACCGTCTCGTCAATGAGATGAGGAACAGCCTTGTGGAAGAGGACCAATCCTGTGCTCCCTTCACCTAAATTGATGTAAATTAAGCTTCGGGCAAGGGCTAATGAGATCAGGGTCTATTGAAATTGTTGTTCTGATCCAAATGAAGCTGATTACTGCGAAGAGATACTGAAATTCATTTAAGTATGCAAGGCATGTAGTTTTAGATTATGCTGCAGAAATAGTGGAATACCTTATTTTTCATAACTAGCTTGAATGCAGATAAAAGGTTGGCAACTTTTGCTACACACAACCACATCTGTTTAGTGTATGTTCGCTAATTTTAAGTTTGCAAAACTCCAGACAAGCGGCTGAAGATCTTGTATTGTTTTGAGTCTCCTTTATTTGAGCAAACTGACACCATAGCTGTTTTGTTGATTAGATTTTTAAAATTATAGCTATATTTACAAAATGAATTCTTCACCCAGGATTGTAAAAGTTTTGTCTTAGAAATCTCTGCAGTTGTTCACGCGATTGCTCATGCAACTAGCATAGTTGCCGGAAAGCTACGCTTCCACTAGCTTTTCGGTATCCTCTTCTGCTTTCGCATTAAAGAACTTCACTTGATAACTTTAGTCCTCTTATACAGAAATTGATCTGGAGACCTAGATTAATACTTTTACTCCTAATATGTCGGCTCTTACGTGTGTAAGAAGGTGCTGTAAGAGGGTACATCCTGAGTTCTACAAGGCAGTTTCTGCAGTTCAAAGTTATTTAATGGCTGCAAACTCCCAAGCACTGTGTTGAAACAAATGCTGAGGCAAGAAATTAGTTTGAAAAGGACCGAATTTAGTTGGAGTTCCTGAAAGAACTATAAATATGCTGCAAGTATTCTGCTCTCTTGAAGGGAAAACTTACTGGGGCATAAAGGCAAGCTCAAGCAGCTTTTAAAAGTATCTTTTTAAAGGTATTAATGATTTTTACTTTCTTGTGAGCTGAATTGGGGGAAGCATTAGTTACTTCTGACTCTTGGCAAATCTGTAAGTTGTGGTAAAGGAACAGAATGGAATTTGCTGCTGTCTGATATAGTTGACTCCAAAGTGGACATCATTGAACACAGTTGAAAGAACATTCCCTAATTAGCTTTAGTTACAGCTAAACTTTAAGTGGTGTTATTTAAGTAAGGCTGCCTTGTATAGAAATCAAAGTGTCTCCCCATGGCTTAAAAATAAGTTGGTTTAGGAAGGTCTTGTGCTTCCAAAGGTAAGTGTGTGTGGGTCATGGCAGTTGTCAGACATACTTAATGTATGTGCTTATCAAGATGGACGCTCAAAGGGAAGGTTAGTGTGCTGTATTTGTACATCTTCAACAAATTCGCAGTCAAGCTGTCGCTGCGTCAGTAGCAGTTTATCTGTACGTAATGAGGTGTTTTCCCTGCAGGCCTGTAACTTTGGATTTCTGAGGAGTGCATTGACCGTGCGGAATCCGGAATGACTGCGTTTGGCCATTTGTAAACTAAAGTGGCAGTGTTGCTGTGCTGTACAGCATTGTAGTAATCCACCTGTGAACATGCAGAAGTAGCGTCTTTTGGAAAAAAACTGGTTTATTGCTATTTGTTAACTTGCTTTAAAAATGCATGTTGCAACTTCCAGTTGAAAAACTAAGTTTTCAAAAGGTTTCTGTGGCAAGCTTTCCAGCAGATCCATCTTGCTGCTATGGGGCAACTGCTCTAGTGTTGTGGTTTAACCCCAGCTGGCAACTCAGCCCCACCCAGCCGCTCGCTCGCTCCCCCCAGTGGGATGGGGGAGAGAATCGGAAGGGTAAAAGTGAGAAAACTCCTGGGTTGAGATAAAGACAGTTCAATATGTAAAGCAAAAGCCGTGCACGCAAGCAAAGCAAAACAAGGAATCTGTTCACTCCTTCCCCTCGGCAGGCAGGTGTTCAGCCATCCCCAGGAAAGCAGGGCTCCATCACACCTAACGGTGACTTGGGAAGACAAGCGCCATCACTCTGAATGTCCCCCCCTTCCTCCTTCTTCCCCCAGCTTTACCTGCTGAGCATGACGTCCCATGGTGTGGGATATCCCTTTGGTCAGTTGGGGTCAGCTGTCCCGGCTGTGCCCCCTCCCAACTTCTTGTGCCCCCCAGCCTGCTCGCTGGTGGGGTGGGGTGAGAGGCAGAAAAGGCCTTGACTGTGTGTCAGCACTGCTCAGCAGTAACGAAAACATCCCTGTGTTATCAGCGCTGTTTCCAGCACAAATCCAAAACAGAGCCCCATACCAGCTACTGTGAAGAAAGTTAACTCTACCCCAGCCACAATCAGCACACCTAGGAAGGCTTGAAGGTCTTATGCCTGTGACAAAATTGCCTTTAATTGAAATACTCTGTAGAAGTGAAAGTTCAAAGGTTGTGTTCTAGAATTTCTTCTGTTGTGAGGTTCAGGCACCTGTATGCACTTGCTTGTTGTGCTTATCGAGCATTAATAGAAGTTTTGGTGTCAGATCATTAAATTTAAGTTGAAATAGGAGATTGTTTGAGGATTGTTTGGTATTAGAACTATTGGGGAAGAAAACAGGCAAAATGCATCATTGTGTTGACAAAGCTCTCTACGCTGTAGGCTCATAAACAGCCTGTTTCACCGCTGACCGGTCTTGCTTGATTGAGCATTTATGTTTCTCCTAATTCATTGTTCAGATGGTGCAGCCTTCGGCACTTGCTTGCAGCCATTCTTTTTGTCTCCTTTGTTAATGATCAATGCTTTCACCAGCCACACTGGTATTTCTGCATTTGATGGAGATAATGGTGTATATGCTTCTGGTCAGGAAAATTCCAGCTATGACTGTAAAGTAGCTGCCATAAATGAGAAACTGGGAAATGGAGGTGGGGATGAAGGAGGAAGAAGAGTCAAAAACTGCTTATGCTGTTGGGTAATAACTTCAGGGGTGTCCCTCCACTGCTGCCTTCCCTTCCCTGTCACCCGTGCCCCAAAATGATCCCATCTTGAAAGGATTCAAGAAGTCTGGCTGCTTGACTTCATGCTGTTGGAAGTCTGCGGTTGTAAAAGGAGGGGGAGAGAATACTCCGTTACGTGCTTCCTCTCCCCAGCTCCATAAGGGAGGAGGACAGCTCTGCCCTGCGCTTTCTGGCTCCTCTCTGAAAAGGTGAAAGCTGGAGACTTGGACCCTCCTTCAGCATGTAAATTTAAACTTTAAATTTAGAAATTTAATGGGGAATCATGAGATTAGTTAATTTTCAGAATTACAGTAACTTAAAGATGCATCCAATGAAACTATGTAACTTAAAGTTACTCTAGTAATAGGCCCATAGATGGCCTTTCAGCTTGCTTCCTGCTTCCAATTAGGGTATTTTGGCAATAAACTTGTGAATAGTAAGCCTTTAAATAAAAAAAAAAAAAACCAACCCTGAGTAATAGGTTGTGATCTTTCCCTTCTGCCCTATGAAAATATTCTTAAAATTACTGCAGAAATGCAAAATTGGCAGGCCTAGAGGACAAGTAGGTGGTGGTAGCTACTGCCAGTTCACTTTAAACAAAC